TTGTAATCCTGGGAATGTGTCTAATCCATCGGTTACGGCACTTGTGGCTTGTACTTTCGCAGCCTCATCCCAGTTCCTGATTTTTTCCACATTGTCTGTACACCGACTTCAGCTTCTTTCCTGCAGAGCATGTTTTTTGTCTTATCTTTTTCTTCGAGTGTGTACAGTCGATGGACCGGAAATCGTGAATCAGGCTGCCTGGGCTTGGTACGTTTAAGAGATATGAACACTCAAAAAACTTTCTAGCGCCGCTCTGATTTTTTTAAGCCACTGTCTGTCACGCTGCCTTAGTCGATGGAGTTTGCATGCTACTTTCTAGTACTCCTTTCCCTCCCCCCTCCCCTGTCGCCCCTTTCCGCTTCTACTCGCTCCGCATAGTTATGATTCACATATATATATGTATATTTGTACTAGTTACTTGTGATAGTCACTTGTGATAGTCAGTTGGGATGGAAAAAGAAAATATTTCTGAAATATCTTTTGGCTATCATAAAGCGATTTTGCATCAGATTTCTGCTTTCGATGCATTAGCTTTTGATTTCAGGATGATTCATTTGCCTTTTTTCTGTCTTCCGAATTAAGCATTGCCAATGGTCTCGGTACCGTTCTGCCACCCTTTCCATTCCCTCGCAGAAACAGTTCTTAATGCATTTTTATCCATTTCCCTTTTTTCGCCTGAATTCATTGGCCGGAGGATTTTTTTTTAGTATAATTTTTCGCCGCAATCCAACAGTTGATTCTATTATTGTTTTATTGAATTTTTGCGCATTTCCAAGGATGACTTTTCTGTGCATTTGACTTTGACGTTTTTCGGTAACGCATACGGGATTTTCCAATGGGGGAGCACATTTAAAAACTCGTATATGTAGGCCATTTGACAGTTCCTTAGAAATGCACAGCTGAAATACTTATTTGACTGATTGGTTAACCTTTAAATGGTTTAAACAGCATAAAATATACCAAGAATGTGAAGCCCGCTTGGACAGTCAAAATCGGTATCCTGTGTAAGTGACGTTACTGAGATACTCTCACACGCCGGGCAGAAGGCTGTTCGTTCCTGGATTGCATACCTCCAATTAGCACTCATCGTTTACTTGAAATATTTGCGGCATCTTCGAGAACTGTGCAAGTGTTCATTTACTAATTCTTGCTACATTTTAAAATGGGTGATTTAACTTTGACCACATAATGTAAAATATAGAAAATGAAGTGTTTGAGTATTCTTAAAATTCTTTGAGTCACAAAAATAGAGTATCGCTTTACTCATCTTGGACGAAGAAACTTATTTTTTCCTCTCCCTTCCTGATCTCAACTCAGTCTTTCGTGTTTTTCCAACACCGCTGATTTTGGTCTCCGCAAAGCGTAAAACTGAGAATGGATTCAGCTGCCTCTTTCCATTCCACATAAATCATATTGAGTGTCTGATCCCAACACCCGAAACCTTTTTCCGATTGCTCTCTGTCTAAGATTTGGCCTGATGATTGTTTGGGGTCACCAAATGACTGCACTTAAATCGCTGCATCTTCTTGTTCATTATAACTCGCGTACGAATCCATCGATTCAGTAATTTCAAGAATAATATAAATTTCAGATAACTTTGTCCAAACTTATGCTCTAACCTACTAACAATGCAACTCACATTTATACAGTTTCAATACGCGACGCTTCTCACACTTTTCTGCGGTACTCACTTGCTTTGATGCTTTATTCAACTACAAATCATGCCGTGGTGCTCTGGCTATGCAGTTAACAATTCTACCAGTTATTTCGCCTGATGGTGGTCCTGACTTTCGTTTCCTCTCCTGAAGCGATTTCGAGTTTCCGCTCCTGAAGTGACTGTTGCCAGTTCTTCCGACAGAACCACTTGACAAATATTCTTATGTTTATCTTAGATATTCCTTTGTGGTATTGCTCTTTAAACTAACATTAACTAAATGGGAAAGGGATGAAAAACAAATTATTGGGGATTCAAATAACAGAAAATTTATATGTGCAGTTCAAAACTTATGAATTATTAAAGAGTCATAGTCTAAATCTACTACTTATTCCATGTCACTGAGAGGCTGAGGCACTCGGAAGGGGAGTAACTGCTAATAGCATCGATAGAAAAGCTGCTGATGGCTCCCTTTTCGGTGATTGATTAGAAGCAAGCTGATGACGGGCGGTAAAGAATTATGATCTGAACTAGAATCAGATCGTGCGGCGAATCAAAGTGAATTTTGAAAGCTTGAAAAAAAGACTTATTCCTTAGCTACCACTCAGCTGTGTTTGTCGATAACTTCATTACCGTGACTTGTGCATAGGTTTCCATATTGGCTTAACAACAGCGGCGAATTACGTTCGAGGATGCTATTATACCAACTGGGCCCAGTATCGCACCGGTAAGCCATGTATCGTCTATTTTGGAAGATTTTAAAAATAAGGCAAGTTCACAGGGCAATAATTCGATTGCTGAAACCTCAGCTCACAATGAAACTCAGTTACTGAAATAATTCGCAGTGAGATTTGAATAGAAAATTCAATTAAAATACAGCCTGATGGTACATACCTTGCAACAATTTACGTCTTTCAGGGAAAGGGAAATTTATGCCGGAAGATATCCCGAAAGGCCTATGCACACACGTTTTGTACGCTTTCGCCAAAGTCGACAGTGCAGGCACATCACTGTGAGTTTTCCTGGTGGTAACATTAATAAAACGGATTATCAGCAGAAAACTGTTCTTTAATTTGGGTTGAATCCAATAACTCTAAACGAACTGCGAGGAAGCAAAAAAAAAAAATCTCGTGCTTTGTAATGCTCCTACAAAAAAATCTCATGTGTCCAAATAACCGCCACTTTTATTTTGCTAACAGTTGCTCAATCCAATCTTAAATTTCGTATTTTGCACTTTTCTGCAACCTTTTTATGACGCGCTATAATTTGCATCTTTTGCCTTTCCAGATCACTTAGACTGATGAGAATGAGGAAACGAAAACACTATCACACATATTAATATTCTGTTTCGAAACAACAGAAATCATGACCTCGGATTTAATCGCAAGGATTTTTCTTCTAGTAAATTGTAGATCAGGGAGATGAAACTAGAGGTGATTTTGGGTACTTGCTGGTCTGCCCATCTTACATCTTTTCTGGATTATGGTTGCCATACTTATAGATTTCAAGCGAAAAGAATTCAGAAATCGGAGAAAAAATGAAATAATTTTCTACTGCCATTGTTTTTTGGGTGAAAAAAAACAGAGTTTTTTCAACAAGCTAGGATGGAAAAGTACATGTGAATGACGTACATTTCTTTCTAGTCTGTATACCTTGAAACTAAACAGGACTGCTTTTTACCCCAAAACTCGCGAAAAGCTGGCAGAAGAAGCCGTTACAAAAAAATCACTGTCTAGAAAAAGTGGAGAGAAAAAAGGGTAAATTTTGTTCAAGAGGCAGGTACACAGTAGAAATGGCTCCCACGGACACATCGGCAGATGGTCCAATGGCATAGCTGATTGACCCATGGTTCGATTCCCTCCCGGTCCACAAACGTTTGCAGACGGCTTCGTCCAGATGGAACAGGGATATGTAAATTCATTTGTGACGCAGTTGAATGAGATACTTAAAATATATAAGTAATGATAAAAGAAATTGACTAAAACATAAGTCGGCAAATATAGGGTCCTAAGCTTTATGTGGGAAAAACATTTTGCAATTGCTAGTGAAAAGTG